GCTAAAACTTCTTCACCTAATAAATAATTGTGCTAGTTTAATGCAATTTTTTATACAATATTTAAGCAAAAATAATTATTACCAGTATTTTATTATACTTTTATTTAATAATCATATATAAGTAACTCTAAATATCTATAATAAAACAATTAATAATTTTGTAATCATGATTTTGTAATTATAGACAATACTAGAATGACTACATTTAGCTTTCAATACAATTGTATAATTAAGTATTTTAAAATAATATTTTATAAAAATATAAAAATAAATTCATTTTAGTAAAATTTATTTATCGAAAAATTGCATTATTGACACCTAACATTTTGTATTCATCTCTTTGCATCTATAATTTTACTTACATGCTTAACTAATCCTAATTCTTTGGCTAAAACACCGAATTCATCATTTTGTTGCAACAAAAATTCTACCAAACTCTTAGCAAGACGAGTTCCTTTTTGTAAAGAAATCTTACACAATGGTTCATCTTCATCATCAGATTAAGCATTATTACCATTATGTTTATGATGAATTTGTTCAATTAGAGTTATATTGTCTGGCATTTCTTCAATTAGTAAAATATTATCCAGATGTACAAACTCATTAGCATTAAATAGATTATCAATTGGGAGCTCTAAAATCAAATTATTTAATTCATCAAGCTGTTTATTCTCAATACTTTGAAAATCTATAGATAAACTATTATTATTATCATTAATAGGAAGCATACCAGCCTTCTTCCAACAGTTTACAATAGTATTAGATATTACATTTTGCCAGGCATCAGCTGCGAGATAAATTGCATCATAAATTGTAAAAGCTAATAGACTTTATCTGGCTTATCATAAATGGAAACATATGCTTCAATTCTATTGATAAAACTTTTTTATAAAAGTATTTAAATGAATAAATTATCCCTTAATTACAAGGTTGAATATGGGTGGTGGCATTAGATAGCAAAAATTCAATACAAATATGCTTAAGTTTAACATTTTCCTCAAGCTAATGTACTGGCGCACCATAAATAATAAGAAGAATATTCTTGCCACATTTACTAAGCCTTGTATCCCAATCTTTTAAAATTCTTGTCCAAATTGAAATCTATATAAAAAATTAATTTGAATTTAGTTATTAACTCAGTATGTGTTATTTTACTTTTTTTAATTGTATAGTACAGGATAGCAAAAATATCCAATATTTATATATAAAATATAAAAAGTGTTATAAAGTTATAATTATAGAACAAAATATTTTAGCAAAAATCTCTTATAAATTTGTTGCTTTTTATCTAA